GGCTGGCTTTGAACCACGATCCTCAGATCTCAGCCTCCTGAGTAGCTAGGATTACAGGTGTGAGCCACCAGCGCCCGGCTTACCTTTTTTCTTTTTAAATCTGCTGCTTCTGGGTCTTAAACTCAGGGTCTGAGTGTTATCCTTGAGCTTTTTTCTTCAGGCTTGTGTTCTACAACTTGAGCCACAGATTCATTTTCAGGTTCTTTTTGGAGTTTCACAGTCTTTCCTGCCCTAGTTGACTTCAAATGCCATACCTCAGATCTCAGCCTCTTAAATAGCTGAGGTTATAAGCACGATCCAACTGAAGCCCAGCTTAGAAATTTTCTTTATTAGATTCTTTAATGAATGACAGTACACCGTTTTTTAAATTTTATTTTGTAAGTGATAGGCCTTGTGCTTGATAAACGTGTACACTAACATCACCTTACTTCATCGTAATTCACTCTAGCGTCAGTCCCTGTTCTAGACCCTGATATAAACTAGACATGGGGTTTAGTGGTACAATACTTAGTACACACAAGGTTTTGCATTTAAAATCCCCAACACCTGGAATTTGAGGAGAAAGATCTAAAGAGGAGATTGTGACACATATGCCTAAATAACACACAGGATGTCTTCTTGCTATTATGGGACAGCAAACAGTAACTACCATGATGCTCATTATATTAGAAGACAGTAGCATATAGGCAAAATAGAAAGCAAAGGCAGAGCCAGCTCTAGGGCTTGAACTCTAGGCCTGGGTGCTGTCCCTGAACTCTTGAGCTCGAGGCAAGTGCTCTACTACTTGAGCCATAACACCACTTCCAGTTTTCTGGTGGTTAAGTGGTGTTTCATGGACTTTCTTGCTAGGGTTAGCTTTGGACTGCAATCCTCAGATCTTAAGCCTCCTGAAGAGCTAAGATTTCAGGTGTGAGCCACTAGCACCCACCCAGCTTGTCTTTTAGCACTTTTTGGTCAAGGCTGGTGCTTTACCAGTTAAGTCACAGTTCTTCATCTGGCTTTTTGGTGGATTATTGGAGATAAGAGTCTCAAGGGCCCGGTGCTGGTGGCTCATGCCTATAATCCTAGCTACTCAAGAGGCCGAGATCTAAGAATCTTGGTTCAAAGTCTGTGGGGGCAGGAAAGTCCTTGAGACTCTTATCTCCAATAAACCACCAGAAAAGCAGAAGTGCCACTGAGGCTCAGTGGTAAGGCAGCCTTAAGCTGAAGAGCTGAGGATAGCACCCAGGCCCAGAGTTCAAGCCTCATGACCAACAAAACAAAACCTCTGACTTTGCTTCCTCGTCTGGCTTTGATATCAGCCTCCTAAATAGTGTAAGATTATAATCATGAGCCACTGGCATGCTAAAAATAGATACATTTTAAATGTAGATTTGGATAGTAGGGGAAAAAACAAAGGAGGAGGTACCAATGCTTGTCAGGAAATGTACTCATTGCCTTATTCATGTAACTGTAACCCCTCTGTACATAAAAAAAAATTAAATGTAGAAATTTATGACATACTTAAGATTAAAGTATAATAGTTTATGTAATGACAATGGTTAATGGTGAAATAAAATCATTAGTTTATTTTATACAGAGACTTAGGTTTTAAGAGGGCCAGAATCTGTAAACAGGGCCCCTAGGTTCATATGACTCACCTAATTATACAGAAAAAGCAAGTAGCTGGGTGCCAGTGGCTCACATGTGTATTCCTGTTCAAAGCCAGCCCAGGCAGAAGAGTCCTCATGAGACTCTTATCTCCAATTAACCACTCAAAAACCAGATGTAGAGCTGTGGGGCTCAAGTGGTAGAGCACTAGCTGAGATAAAAACTCAGTGGCAGTACCCAGGAACTAACTTCAAGCTGCAGAGCTGACATGAGTACACATGCATGCACACACACACACACACACACACGCACTGCTTTTCTTGGTCAGTTGTAAGGCTTGACTCAGAGCCTGCATGCTGTCCCTGAACTTTTTGCTAGGGGTCTACCACTTGAGCCATAGTGCCACTTCTGATGTTTGAGTGACTAATTGGAAAGAAGAGTCTCACTGGGACTTTTCTGCCCAGGCTGGCTTGTAACCACAATCCTCAGATCTCAACCTCAGCAGTTAGGATTACAGGTGTGAGCCACCGGTGCCCAGCTTATAAATTGCTCTCACTTCCCCTCCTCTCTTCACCTTGACTAGGAATTGATGTTTTCCAACATTTTTCAGCCTTGTCCAGGCTTCCACAGGCTTTGTTCATCTAGATCCACTTGCCTGTAGTAGTGATGACTTGGTCAGCTGAGATTTCAGCCACAACCCTATGGAGCTGGGACAAAGGGCGATGCCAACTGATTAATCACCTACAGCAATTCTTCTGCCCTCTCCACTGTCCAAATACCAACTGGTGGTATGGTGTGCACGAACCTATATTCCTAGCTGTGATTCTAACATCCAGACTTCACTTCCCCTGAACAGCAAGACGAGCTAACCACACCATCCCTCTGCCATGAAGTTCATCTGAAGCAAGGATGAGTCTAGAGGTCCAAATGCCTTTGCCAAAGGAGGGAGACACAGTGTGGGGTCTTGGAGACAGAGCAAAGTACATCACCAGAACCAAACAGCAGGGTTTAACACTTGGATAAACGCTCAATAATTTCCCTAAATATCTAATTGCATAGTGTCAAGGAGACCTTTGGGTCATTTACACACCTATGGATTTTATAGGTCTGGCACAGGGGTACAGCAACACATTGCCCAAGTTTATGCCCATCTTATCTTGCTCAGTAGGGACCTGGTGGGTAGAACTAGACTTGGATCCAGGTTCAGCCAGGATTCTCTTGGCTCTTCCCTTTTTGTTTTTTGTGGTGGACCTGACCCTTGAACTCAGAGCCTAGGCACTATCCATGAGCTTTTTTTGCCCAAGGTTAGGACTCTACCTCTTGAGTCACAACTCCATTTCTTTTTGTTGATTAATTGAAGATAAGGATCTCAGGGACTTTCTGGCCAGGGCTAGCTTTGAACTGACCCTCAGATCTGCATTATGCCATTTTTCCAAAGGGAATATTAATATCTATCACAAAGAGAACAGAAGGGGAGATGCGAAAAAATCCACCCCATTAAACAAAAAAATATAAAACCTTAGAAATCAGATTTTGTACAATGCTTTATTACAAAAAGAAAACAAGTGCCCAAACTCTACGCTAAAGAAAACACTATAAGGAAGTGGTGCTGTGGCTCAAGTGGTAGAGCACTTGAGCTGAAGAGCTGAGGGACAGCACCCAAGCCCAGAGTTCAAGCCCCACGACCAAAAAAAAAAAAAAAAGAAAGAAAAATCAAAGAAAACACTATAATACAACTAAATGTTGGTGGAGTCAGTGGGAGAGCATGGAAAGGACCCCAGACTTGGACAAAACGTTCCATTGGCATCTAAAAAAAAGTATTAATAAACAAAAACCTATTAATGGACTTCAGAATAGACTATCTGCTGTAATGGTCACAGAACAGCAGTAACAGACTAGAAGTTCCTGCAGGCCTGCCTGGAAAACACACGCACACGCACCACACACGCACTCGCACCACGCACACGCGCACCACACAGAACACACACGCACGCGCACCACACAGAACACACACGCACGCGCACCACACAGAACACACACACACACACAGAACACACACACACACACAGAACACACACACACAGAACACACACACACACAGAACACACACACACACAGAACACACACACACACAGAACACACACACACACAGAAGTGCAGCTATCTCCATGACTTTGGAGATGAACTTGAAGGTCTGCCTGGACCTCGCTGGCTTTTTTCTGAGCTGATGGTAATAGTACAAATACTGTTCAAGGTCCAGGTTCCTTGGTGAGTGACATCTCCCAAGTCATCAGTCTTCCAGTGATGGCTCCACTCCAACAAAATCAGTCACTCCTCAAAAGCAGCTGGCATCAAAAGGCGACCAGGAATCCACAGATGTTCCCTTCATCCAGGTCTAACACCTCACTGGAGGCTCTTAGCTAACACCTTGTTCCTAAAACACAAATGCAATGTCTATGTTTAAAAGAGGTAAACCAAGAATCAAATTTCATCTTTTTTTTGGTCGGTCATGGGGCATGAACTCTGGGCCTGGGCGCTGTCCCTCAGCTCTTCAGCTCAAGGCTAGCACTCTACCACTTGAGCATAGCGCCACTTCTGGCTTTTTCTGTTTATGTGGTGCTGAGCAATCGAACCCAGAGTCCCATGTATGCAAAACAAGCACTCTACCACTAAGCCACCCCAAATTTCATCTTAATAGTTAAAGAGGAATGACACTGAACAAGATGCATTCTACTAAATAGCCAAGAAACCCCCACTTCTAAAATCCCATTAAAATTGTTCTAAGAAATTTGTATAATCAGCCAGGTGCCAGTGGCTCACGCCTATAATCCTAGCTAATCAGGAGGCTGAGTTCTGAGGGGCACGGTTCAAAGCCAACCCAGGCAGAAAAGTCCTCCCAATTATTGACTCAAAATCCAGAAGTGGTGCTGTGGTTAAAGTACTAGAGCGCTAGCCTGAAACACAAAGAGGCTCAGGGACAGTGCCCAGGCCCTGAGTTCAAGACCCTTGGCAGACACCCTCTCCCTGACAAAAAATATAATCAGGGTCAAGCACTGGTGGCTCATACCTGTGATCCTGGCTACTCAGGAGGCTGAGATCCGAGGATTGTGGTTCAAAGCCAGCCAGGGCAGGAAAGTCTGAGACCCTTATCTCCAATTAACCACCAGAAAACTGGAAGTTTCACTTTGGGCCAAAGTGGTAGAGTGCTAGTTTTGAGCAAGAGGACAGGGATAGCACCTAGATCCCGAGTTCAAGCCTCATGACAGGAAAAAAATTAAACGCCTGCTTCTACTGTGCAGGTAAGCAGTAGGTACTCACTTGTGAACACATGTGGGGCACAGCATATTGTCCTGCATGTGTCGGGGTGGGAAGATGCGGGCCGGAATCAGGAATAGAGCACTGACTTTTCCTTTCTTCTTCTCAGGCACCCAGGGTTGTCCACCGTGAAACTGCAGCTGAACCCAGCCATCCGTATTTCCAGGCAGACTTCGTCCATGGACCACACACCACTTGTCCCCTGGGGAAGAAAAGATTAAACATCAGCAAACTGGGTCTACAAGCTCAGGCAAGATGATTCTGGCCAGCCCCTTACTGCTTTTCTCTGCTTACAGCCCCAACACTGGACCCTGAAATCCCAAGGTCATTGTCACTTCATTCTGTTCTGAGAAGTAGCTTGTTCCAGATGAAACTTTAAAGCACTGAAGGAAAGGAAATAAGTACCTGACTTATATAACTGTAATCCCTTTGTACATCACCTTTATAATAACAATAGATGTGAAAAAAATACTTTTAAGACAGCTAGGCTCTTTTGGCTCACTGTTGTAATCCTAGCTACTTAGGAGGCTGAGATCTTAGGATAATAGTTCAAAACCGGCCCTGGTGGTAAAGTCTGTGATTTTTTTTTGGGGGGGTGGGGATGGTCAGTCGTGGGGCCACAGTACCACTTCCCGTTTTCTGGTGGATAATTGGAGATAAGAAGTCTCATAGACTTTCCTGCCTAGGCTGGCTTTGAACCATGATCCTCAAATCTCAGCCTCCTGAGTAGCTATGATTACAGCAGTGAGCCACAGGCACAGGCCTGTGTCTTGAGCAAAAACAGTTCAGGGACAATGCCTAGGCCCTGAGTACAAGCCCTACCACTGATTAAAAAAAAAAATACATGTTTTAAGGCAAATTAGAGGTATGGCTCAAGTGGAGAAGTTGGAGAGCCTTAAGTGGAAAAAAGCTAAGTTCAACCTCAGTACCAAAACAAAAATTTTAAAAAAAGCAAATAACTTATTAAAGACTATGGCATTGTGGATGTACCTCAGTGGTAGAGCATTGTATTGTATGTCAGCCTATCATACACATACTACCAAAAACTTCAGAACAACCCAGCTAGGGACCGGTGGCTCACTCCTACAATCCTACTCAGGAGGGTTAAGATCCAAGGATGGGGCTGGGAATGTGGCTTAGTGGTAGAGTGCTTTCGGAGCATGTATGAAGCCCTGGGTTTGATTCCTCAGTACCACACAGAGGAAAAGCTGAAAGTGATGCTTGCAAGTGACAGAATGCTAGCCTTGAGCAAAAGAAGTTCAGGGACAGTGCCCAAGCCCTGAATTCAAGGCCCAAAACTGGCCCAAAACAAAACAAAAAAATGACCTCAGGATAATGGTTGGAAGCCAGCACGGGCATGAAAGTCCATTGAGACTGGCATAGAGGAAAAAAAATCAGAACACCCTAAAAGTTAAGGGGTCTCAACTCTTTAATAGCCACTGTATGATCTAAGTAGATTATGGTCCTCTTGGATTGCATTTCCAATTATTTTTTTTGCTGGTCATGGGCCTGAACTCTGGGCCTGAGTGCTGTCTCTCAGCTCTTCAGCTAGCCCTCTACCATTTGAGCCACAGCACCACTTCCCACTTTTTCTGCTTATGTGATGCTGAGGAATCAAACCCAGGGCCTCATGTAAGACAAGCACTCTACCACTGAGCCACCTTCCTAGCCCTCCCATTATTCTTACATGTCTATTTACTTTTTTTCGCCCAAGGCTGGTGTTCTACCACTTAAGCCACACCTCCACATTTGGCTTTTTGATGGTTAATTGGAGGTGAGTCTCAGACTTTCCTAAGCTGGCATTAAACCACAATTCTCTCCTATCTCAGCCTCCTAGGTAGCTAGGATTATAGGTGTGAACCACTGGTACTTGCCTCTAGGGACAGTCTGAAAGAACTTGCTAGAGGGCTCACACCTCAATAGTTGATTTTAGACCCTGCCTTTACATTTCTTAAAGGAGAAGAGGGCTGGGAAGGTGGCTCAGTGGTAGAGCGCTTGCCTTGCATGCATGACGCCCTGGGTTCAATTCCTCAGCACCACATAAGCAAAAAGAAAAAAGCCAGAAGTGGCCCTGTGGCTCAAGTGGTAGAGTGCTAGCCTTGAGCTGAAGAGCTGAGGGACAGTGCCCAAGCCCAGAGTTCAGGCCCCACGACCAGACGCCCCCCCCCAAAAAAAGAAGAAATGAATATACTGCCTCTCAATGATACTAACAATTTAGGAGGATGGTTTTCAAGTTGGGGTCTATAGCATTCTTACTATTGCCTGAGAAATGGTGAAACATAAAATCTCAGCTTCTGCCCCTCACTGGAATCAGAAAACACAGAATGGGATTTAGAAATAACTAGTAAGTGAGTTGACCCCTCCAATAGTTACTAGAAATCAGTGTTAACTGAACTTGTTTCCTTATTTAACCAGAACAACTTCTCTACTCAGGGCTTACCAGAGGCTGCTTTAGGTGCCTCTGTCTCCACCTCCTCTATGTGCCCGATGGCACTGGATGCGATCCTGGACCAGGAAGCCAATGTTGACTCTGGGGCAGATGAAGTTACTACAGTGGTACTAACTTCTTCATAGAAATCTGGGGGGTTCTGGATGATAGCCAACTGATCTTCAGGAATAGGAATTTCGCTGGAAGAAGTCCCATCAAACTGTGAGTTTTTCTGGAATATTTGCTCCTGATCCATGTTTTGTGTTCTCTGGCGAATACTCTTAATCCTGGCCTCCTTTGCGGTGCAAGGAATATTCTGCAAATTCTAAAATATCAGAGATAACGAGAAATTAAAATGTTATCAAATGTATGACCTCAGGGGCTAGGGAAAAGTGTGGTACAATCACCAAGACTATATTAAACAATATACTACATACTCTTGAAAACTGCTACTAGATTATAACCACTGAGCAGGTTGTACATGCACAGAATCTCATCTAATCAGGAGGTTGAGGAACAAAGGCTACATGAGTTCACTTCTGTCATTTTTGCTAAAAAAAACTGGAGGTAAGGGTGTCATGGACTTTCTCATCTGAGCTGGCTTCACACCTCAATCTTCAGGCTCCTGAACAGCTAGGATTGTATGTATAGGCCATCATTACCTAGCCTAAGCTTTTAAGTGTTTTCATAACAAAGTAAGTATGTAATATATGCTAACTTAATCTAGTCAGGTCACAATGTATTTTAAAATGTGGTGCCAGTTAAATACCTATCTATTAGTATACTATTTTTTGTTTGAATTGAGCTTAACGTTTTTAAGACCCAGGTTTCATTCCTCAGCACCTTGAGATACACACCACCACCACAACCAACAACCAACTTTATTTTTACCACTCTGTGTAGAGTTCAGCAAATGTAGTGAATTAATCTCTTAGACTCAAGGTGGAGAGAATAAAGTCCCTAAGACAATTCAATTCCTCTACTTATTTACATGCTAAAGTAGGTATTTCGAGTAAGAATCAAACCTTCAACTAAGGTAGTTTTCCTTGAAATTAAGAAGTCACTCACATGGGGCATGCCTATAATCCTAGCTGCTCAGGAGGATGAGATCTGAGAATCTTGGTTGAAAATCAGCCCTGGCAGGAAAGTCTGTGAGACTCTTATTTCCAATTAAATCACATAAAAAGCTGGAAGTGGCCCTGTAGCCAAGGCCAAGAGTTCAAGCCTCAGGACCAGACCAAAAAAAAGTTACTCCTGCAGAGTGGTGGTGTCTCACGCCTGTAATCCTAGCTACTCAGGAGGCTGAGATCTGAGGATCACCGTTCAAGGCCAGCCCAGGCAGTTATTTCCAATTAACCACCAGAAAACTAGAACTAGAGCTGTTATGACCTCAGGGTTGAGAAAAATCATGGAGTCACAGGCAAGGGTGACAAGGAGTTTTATTTGGCTGGCCGTGACTGCCTCATCCTAGGACTGAGAGCAGCCCCAAAGTCAGAACCACACACAGGTGATAGTTTACGAAGCTCAAAAGATGATTGGTGCGTGGATATTCTTCAACTGTGGTCAGGATCAGGCAGAAAGCATTCAGGAGGTCAGAGATTCAGGATAGGAATTGGGGGTTATCAAGGAATGAAAAAACTGCATTGTTATTATATTCCCTAATGGTTTTTACGTCCATATCAAATCACCGATATGCAGAATCACCCTCAGATGACTACAAAGAATAGTTCTACATCAATGTACCACTTCTAACCCTATTTATTCTTTGGCTGGTATAACCAGGTTATCTCAGAACTACCTCAAAATGATTAGTCGTGACTCTACCCAGCAGAGGTTACAGGAACAGAACAATCTGCTAGATTTTTTAAATTACAGTCAGATTCATATATACATATATATTTCCAGTTGCCTTACTTAGATGTCTAGTGGGCATCTCAGATATTACAGGTACTAACAAAATTCTTGATTTTCACCAATGAAATGCACTTAACCTTTCCAGTCTCCTCATTTCAGCCCCACTATGGGCACACAGTTCCTCAGACCCAAAAACCTATAAGTGATTCTTTTGTTTTTTAAATTCGGTCGTGGGGCTTGAACTCTGGGCTTGGGCGCTGTCCCTGCGCTCTTCAGCTCAAGGCAAGCGCTCTACCACTTGAGCCACAATGCCACTTCCGGTTTTCAAGTGGTTTATTGGAGATAAGAGTCTCACGGACTTTCCTGCCCGGGCTGGTTTTGAACCTGGATCCTCAGATCTCAGCCGCCTGAGCAGCTAGGATTACAGGCGTGAACCACTGCCTGGCTCTATAAGTGATTCTTAATTTTTCTTTTCATCCTTCCATCTGTAAGAAAAATCTATTGGTATTATTCCTCAAATCCAACTACTGGTCTTCATTATTACTTTAGCTCAAGCTACAACTGTCATCTCTTTCTAAATGTCTCTAAAAGTCTTCACTTTTTAGAGCAGCTAGAATGACCTACTCAAAGCCAAAATACCGAAGAATTCACAGCCATTATAGGAAACAGGATGATGTGGTCTCCTCCAGAGACCTCCTTGAACTTTCTCCAAACAGTGAAAGTGTCTTTCAGGTTGGAAGAGATAGGCTGGATCTGAACTGTGCTGCAGCAGTGTCTCCAGTAGCTTAGATGGATCGTCACACTGCCTTCTGTGTTACCAGCAAATTTCTACACAGGCTGGTTAAGGATACATTACATAGGCTTAGCAGGCTGAGGCCTCTAAGTTTTAAGCAGTGGCCTCTGAGTAATTTAGCAGGTGACAACCAGATATTTTTCCACACTTGCATACCCATTACCACTGTTTTCCATGCCTCTTCCTTTAATCCTATCCTGCCTCGTTTTCAAAAAAAAAAGACTGATCCCTTGATCTTAAAGGGATTAATGGGTGGAGATCCATTTTCTGTAACTTTTTCAAGCTGACTCAGGGGCACTGACCCTAGCTAGCCAGGAACTTATGTTAGGCAATTTTTACCAAGAGGTTGCCAGAATCAGATATCTAAATTTCCTATGCAAGCCTTTAGAGAGATCTCAACAGAGGCATAACCTCAGATCCACACACCTATTTTCTTGAATAAATTTGACTGGCAAGTTCCTGCCCAATTACCAAGTGGCGATAGACATGGGCATTAGAAAGATACGCTTCCTATGACCTCCCTGCTCTGATTACTTTTTGAAGGGCCAAAAAAGTGACTCCAGAGTCTTACACCATCTCTGCCATCAGAGCAGTGGCTTTTAACTGCCTCTGGATGCTCCATCATTATCAAGGTCACAGGAGATAAAAAGCCCCTTTGGACCAGGTGCTGGTAGCTCATGCCTGTAATCCTAGCTACTCACAAGGCTGAGATCTGAGGATTGTAGACCAAAGCCAGCCCAGGCAAAAAAGTCCCCTAGGCTCTTATCTCCAATTAACCATGCAGAAAGCCAGAACTGGTGCTGTGGCTCAAGTGGTAGAGTGCTACACTTGAGCTGAAGAGCTGAAGGACAGCACCCAGGCTGAGTTGAAGCCCCACAACTGACAAAAAAAAAAAAAGAAAAGAAAGAAAGAAAAAAATGGGGTGGGGAAGCCCCACTGATATTTCCCTTAGTCTCCAGACTTGAAATCAGGGCCTGAACACAGTCCCTCAGCTCTCTAGCTCAAAGCTAGTGCTCTGCCACTTTTGAGCTCCAGCACCTCTTCTACACTCTGCTCTTACAGTTTCACAGGGAACTTTTTCTACCCTGGTTGGCTTTGCAGAGTTCTCAGAGCAATTGAATCTCTTACAAAAAAGGCCACTCTACTCCAATTAAAAGTAACAAAGTCAAAAAAAATTTAAAAAATCTATATAGAGCACGCAAAAAAACAAAAAAAAACTATATAAAAGTAACAAAGTGGGGGCTGGGAAGGTGGCTCAGTGGTAGAGCGCTTGCCTTGCATGCCTGAGGCCCTGGGTTCTATTCCTCAGCACCACATAAGCAAAAAGAAAAAAAGTCAGAAGTGGCGCTGTGGCTCAAGTGGTAGAGTGCTAGCCTTGAGCTGAAGAGCTGAGGGACAGTGCGCAGGCCCAGAATTCAGGCCCCACGACCGGACCACCCCCCCAAAAAAGTAACAAGGTGGTCATTAAGTAAGCAGTCTTACTTGGAACTTATTAAAGACCAAAGTTACAGCTGATAAACTTGTAAAAATCATCTATCCTCTATGGGCCTGCCTGCAATTGTTACAAAGAACCTGCAAGGCAAACTGGAATAACATTTTGGTAGTCCTAATATTTTTTCTTTCCCCACTTTTAAAACAAAACAGGACAATCTTACTTTTAAATTCCCTTTTGCTAGGAGGCGACCATTCCCCTCTACTTCCCAAATGTTTACACATTCTCCCTAAAATGCTTTAATTTGTATTTAAATGACCTTTTGAAACACTGGATAACACCTACTACCTTTTCCCAACCTGTTTAAAACAGCCACTTTTTACTGCAGTCTTGAGTTACTACCAAGAAAACCTCTGAACTCAAAATTAGTTTTTCCTTAATGCAAGAATTCCAAGCATCAGGGCTGGGAAGGTGACTTGGTGGTAGAGTGCTTGCCTTGCATGCATGAGGCCCTGGGTTCGATTCCTCAGCACCACATAAACAGAAAAGGCCGGAAGTGGCACTGTGGCTTAAGTGGTAGAGCGCTACCCTTGAGCTGAAGAGCTGAGGGACAGCACTCAGGCCCAGAGGTCAAGCTCCAGAACTGACAAAAAAGGGGCTGGGAAGGTGGCTCAGTGGTAGAGCGCTTGTCTTGCATGCAAGAGGCCCTGGGTTCTATTCCTCAGCACCACATAAACAAAAAGAAAAAAGCAGGAAGTGACGCTGTGGCTCAAGTGGTAGAGTGCTAGCCTTGAGCTGAAGAGCTGAGGGACAGCACTCAGGCCCAGAGTTCAGGCCCCATGACCGGACCCAAACAAAAAACACACCAGATTTTTTTAATTTGCAAATTAGAGAATCCTTAGAAGATCTTTTTAAATGCCCAAACCTGATGATCTTTTTGGAGTTTAAGTGCACCCACTTACCAATTTTTTCACCTTTTTTTTTTACAGCATGTTGACAATTTTTATCTTGAACATGTTTACCTACATATACATACTCATACAAATGGTTGTTCACAAAAGATCTTAAAGAACACAAAAATAAGACGAACTTTTTTTTTGGATAACACCTATTACCTTTTCCCAACCTGTTTAAAACAGGTTGGGGGGAGGGTCAGTCGTGGGGCTTGAACTCTGGACCTGGGTGCTGTCCCTCAGCTGCTCAGCTTAAGTCTAGCACTCTACCACTGGAGCCACAGTGCTACTTCTGGTTTTCTGGCTGTTTTTTGAAGAGTCTCACGGACTTTCCTGCCCAGGCTGGCTTTCAACCATGATTCTCAGATCTCAGCCTCCTGAGTCGCTAGGATTATAAGCATGAGCACCAGCACCTGGTTTTGTCCTTAACATCTTTTTTAATTTTATTATAAAGATGCTGTACAGAGGGTTAACAGTTACATGAGTAAGGTAATGAGTACATTTCTTGTCAAGCATTGTTACCCACTTATTTTTCTCTTACTATCCCTTTCCTCCTCCAGACAAAATTTTTTTTGTTTTGGTCAGTTGTGGGGCTTGGGCCTGGGCACTGTCCCTCAGCTCTTCAGCTCAAAGCTAGAACGCTACCACTTGAGTGAGCCACAGTGCCACTTTTGGCATTCTAGTCATTTTTTGGGGGGGAGGTCCAGTGGTGGGGCCTGAACTCTGGGCCTGGGCGCTGTCCCTCAGCTCTTCAACTCAAGGCTAGCGCTCTACCACTTGAGCCACAGCACCACTTCCGGCTTTTTTTCTTTTTGCTTATGTGGTGCTGGGGAATCAAACCCAGTGCCTCATGCATTCGAGGCAAGTGCTCTACCACTAAGCCACCTTCCCAACCCTCTAGTCATTTTTATTGGAGATAAGAGTCTCATAGACTTTCCTGCCTAGGCTGGCTTTGAACCATGATGCTCAGATCTCAGCCTCCTGAGTAGCTAGGATTACAGATATGAGCCACCGGTGGCGGGCCAATTGGCCTTTTTAATACCTTCAGTTGGAGGAAGGCTGAGTAGTGGTCACCTAAAACTAATCTGGTCTGACTTTCTTTTATGCACTTTAAGACAAGAGCACTTTACATCTTTTTTACACCGCCAGGACCAGACAAATGAATGTCTGGACCAAGCTTACAGCTGTCTCTTTAGCCAGACTGCTAGAGGACCAAACCAGGCCTGTAACCTCTTGCCTGCTACCACACAGGAACATAGCAGGCCTGTGAGTGGGCCCAGTCATGTCCAAATAGACAACAACCAAAAAAACCAGAAAACAATAATCCACATTTAAGACTGATCCATTAAAAAAACAACAACAGACAAGACCAAAAACAAAAGCTAAATTGGGGCCTAGAGGGCCTCCAGTTCATCCCTATCTGGCAGTCTCTCACCCTGCCACAGCCTAAAAACACCACCAAAAGACAGAGAAGACAGACATAGCCACAAACAGCCCCCACGATTTCCCAAGGAAGTCCCAGATGACTTTTCAAAGAAACCCTAGATGACTTCCCAAGGTAGCCCCACATGGCTTCTTAAGGAAGCCCCAGGAGGTACAGGTGACATCTCTTCCTGGCTCAGACTTGGGAAGTAATACTGCGTCCAGCCTTCCACTGAGTCCCCCCGGATGCAGGCCTACCCAGACTCACCCCTGGGTCCACACTGGTCCTGGGGAGACAGACCTTGAGCAAGGCTCTCTCTCCCCTGAGGGCTGAGGCACTCACCTATGGGTTTCTCAGGGGCCAAGCTCCCACACGGTCCAAATGGATTTTCCCAGTCAGGGAACCAATGCAGCGACCTCAAGATGGAGAAAATCCAGAGGCACGAGCAAAGGTGAAAAGGTAACGCAGCCCCAACCTCCACTAGGGCCAAGCTTATATAGGTCAGAACCACACACACGTGTGGCAGTTTACAGAAGCTCAAAGATGACTGGGGGTGGGGATATTCTCAGCTGTGGTCAGGTTCAGGCAGAGAATATTCTGGAGGCCAGAGATTCAAGATTGGAATTGGGGGTTATCAAGGAATGAAAAAAAGCTGGGACAGAGCAGTGACTCAATGTGGTAAAACGTTATCCCTGAACAGAAAAGCTCAAGAAAAGTGCACAGGCCCTGAGTTAAATCTCCATTGACCACCACCACCAACAACACCACCAATAAAAGAAGTTACTCACATGTTGCTCTGGGTAAGCTTTCTGGCAAATTCGCTTATATGCCTCCAATTTCTAAGAAAAAAAGAAGAAACTGGTTAGTGGGAGGTCCTGCTCCTCCTCCAGGGAACACACCTCCCCTCTGGTCCTCACCGGCCCTTTGCTGCTGAGTTTCAACTTCTGGCACCAAGCTCGAAGAGTGTCTCTGTGGAGCAAGTTGACTGGAGGTAGTTCAGAGGGCAGGGGAGGAATTGGGATCTTCTTTTTAGGTGTTGGTGTCTTGTCTTCCTCTTTCTTGATGGAAGAGGAATCTGAAGAATGGGATAAAATGAGTAATTATTGACATTTTAGTGACCTGAGCTTTTTACAAGTTTAATCACGGATAAACTTTCACCATCAGATTTCTAGTGTTCAAGCGGTTGTACAATAATTAATACCCAAAGACCATAGAACTTCCAAGGGACAGAAAACCTAAGGCTCAAAACTCCAAAATCTCAATTCTGCTTCTTAAAACTTCCCACAACTCAACAGGCATTTTGCTCCTTTGTGAAACATTCTGTTGACAAAATCCAGGTTGAAGAATAGGGAACATCTGAAGTCCTAACAGTCATGTTAAGTGATATTAGGGTTCTACCTTAATTGCAGAGTGCTTGACTCATGTGCAAACTCGGAGTTTCCTTCCCAGACACTCCCCTGCCACACACACACACAAACTTTTAAGTTGCACAGTGGCTTGTGGCTCATTCCTATAATTCTGGCTGCTCAGAAGGCTGTGATCTCAGGATTATGGTTGGAAGCCAGCCCAGGCAGAAAAGTTCAATGAGATGCTTATTTCCAATTAACCACCCCAAAACCAAAAGTGGAGCTGCTGCCCAAAGTGGTAAAGCACCAGCCTAAGGGACAGTGTCCAGGATCTGAGTTCAAGCCCCAGTGTCAGCAGGCGCGCACACACGCGCGCGCGCGCGCACACACACACGCGCGCGCACACACACACGCGCGCGCACACACACACACACACACACACACTGGGCCTAGTGGCATATAATTATCCTATGCAAATTGCCAACAACTAATCTTCACAGCAGCCTTCATCCCCATCTCTTATCAAGGTTAGGCAATATCTGAGCTTACTTTCAGACCCAATTATGTTATGAGAGTTTAAGGATAGGAAGGGATCCGTTTTTTTCTGAGTCAACCACAATAAAAAGCAGCTTGGAATTAAGTTGAGCTTCAAAGGAAGTTCAGGATACGAGAATGCAGAATGGAGATTTCTCTGCCTTCAGAAAAATTCCTGTTTTTCTTTTTTTTTTTTTTTTTCAGATGTGAGTCTGTGGGATCTGAGGATTTGTAAACATCTTGGCCTTGTCATTGTCAAACGATTTACCTCGTTTTCTTCCTTTCGATGATGATGTTGCTCCCAACGATGTACTTGGCTCCTCTTCTTGCTTCAATTTCTTAGTCAAGTTTGACTAGAGACAGAGGAACAGGTTAGTCTTACTACTCTAGTTTCTGATCTTTAGACCCTTCCCCTTCAGCTTCAAGCTAACACATTAAATACCCAGGTAGTAGTCAGTGCAATTGGCTATACAGTATGCAGTTTCCTCTAAGTAACATTTTTTTTTTCTTTTTTGCCAGTCCTGGGGCCTGAACTCAGGGCCTGGATACTTCTGTCCCAGAGCTTCTTTTGCTTAAGGCTAGCACTCTACCACATGAGCCATAGCACCACTTCTGCCTTTTTCTGTATATGTGATGCTAAGGAATCAAACCCAGGGCGTCATGCATGCTAGGCAAGCAGGCTACCACTGAGCTACCTTCCCAGCCCTCTCAGTAACATTTTTTGCTTGCTGGTCCTGAGGGGTTAAAATCAGGGCCTGGTTGCTATTCCTAAGCATTGTTGCTCAATGCTGGTGCTCTAGCACTTGAGCAACAGTTCCATTTCTAGATTGTTGCTGTTTGATTGGAGATTAATCTCCAATTAAACTTGGACTTTCCTGCCTGGGCTGACTTCAAACCATGATCCTCAGATCTGAGCCTCCTGAGTAGCTAAAATTAATAGGTCTGAGCCACTAGTATCAGACCCATGTCTTCATTCTTGATCTCTTACAGAGAAATAATTTTCTCACACATTGATTGTTCTTAGTAGAAAGATTACCACCCATCTTACTTCGTCACTTGTCGCTCTCCGTTACCAAACTCACAAAATTCTCTCCTTTCCAAAATCATAACATACAGCTAGCTGGACTTTCTGAGTCCCAGGATACTTTTACTTACACTCTTAAACCTCCCTTAGTCCACCATCACAGTCTTGAGTCAAGTATTTTGCCAAGCAGCCTTTCTAACCCTTCAAGACAAGTGAAATCTACCTGATTCCCAACCCTTGTCAACTGCAATTTTATATTCGTACTTATAATCTGATTAAAGCCTGGGAATCCATTGATCAGATAATCCCCACCCTAAAAGGTGGGATTTTCCCCCTGGTGCTGTTAGCTGTTCACTCCATTAGTTTATTGTATTAAAAGGAACAAAATGGGTACTGGGAATAAGTTGTTCGTTTTCTTTTTCTCTCTCCTCCCCAGTAAATTATTTCTTAGAGAGAAATAAATATGAATTAGGCCTCTCCTTACTTTTAGAAGTAGATCTACCTGGCTCATACCTGTATCTCTTGCTTACTTAGGAAGCTGAGATCTGAGGACCACGGTTCAAAGCCAGCAGCCTAGCAGAACAATTCATGGTAATTTTTTTTTGGGGGGGGGGATGCGGGTTGGTCATGGGGCTTGAACTCAGGGCCTGGACACTATCCCTGAGCTTTTTCACAAGGTTAGCCCTCTACCACTGTGATCCACAGTTCCACTTCCAGTTTTCTGGTGGTTAACTGGAGATAATCTCCTTTCTCGCCTGGGCGGCTTTGAATGGTGATCCTCTGATCTCAGCCTTCTGAGCAGCTAGGGTTACAAACTTAAGCCACCAGCACCTGGCTCATGGGCCTCCAGAGCAGCAGCAGGACAGAAGTGTAGCTATGGCTGCAACAGGAGAGCATCAACTTTGAGCAAAAAAGCTAAGGAACAACAGAGTTCATCAGGCCCTGAGTTCCAGCCTAGTAAATTAACAAAATAAACCAATGTAAGAAACTAGTAACAATGAGATGTAGAAACTGAGGTTTCCACATCACACCCTAATGCGTAGGACAAACAAGCTAGGAGGAAGTTAAACACAAACTAAATCTCAGGTCCAAGAATCTCAAACCTCAGCTCTTCCAGGCATCCCTCCACAGGGGCTGGGATGGAGTCAGATTAACATATTTGTGGCACTTTTACATTCTAACCCAGTTTCATTTATATTTAAACTTTACATTTACATAATCCTTTCACTAAGCCTTCACTTTGGTGCCCCATTCCAGCCTTAATTTTTTTGTCTGTGTGTGCCAATCCTGGGATTTGCTATCAGGGCCTAAGCACTGTCCCTGAGCTTCATTTGCTCGACTCTAACACTTCACCACTTGAGCCACAGTGCCACTTCTGGCTTTCTTTGTTTATGTTGTACTGAGAAATCAAACGTTGGGCTTCATGCATGCTAGGCAAGCACTCTACCACTAAGCCACATTCCCAGCCCCAGCCTTAAAATTGAAAAAGATAAAAATGGCTAGTTTTAAGGAAAGAGGCGGACAGCACTCTAGTTCCTCAACCTGTGTAGTTGGGAATTTGCTTTGGTTTTCACTTAGGCATGGTTCCTTAGGTATGAGAACCCTGGTTTAGGGTTTGTGTTCTTAGCATGGAAAAGGGCATGGTGGGTAGGGTAGTTTGGGTATCTACTCTCAGCTACCAGCTCTTCCAAAATGATCACCCCAGTGAGTCAGTGACTCATGCCTGTAAATCCTAGCTACTCCGGAAGCTGAGATCTGAAGAGTTGAGATTCGATGCCAGACTTGGTAGAAAGAAAAGACCTTGAGACTCTTTTTCTCCAATTAACCATCAAGAATTTTGGAAATGGATTGTGGTTCAAGTGGTAGGGCACCAGCCTCCTTGAGTTAAAAGGCTTAAGGACAGAACCAAGCCCTGAGTTCAAGCCTTAGTATTGGCAAAAAAAAAAAAAACTCCAAAAGCCCAGTAAACACAAATGATAATAATAATAATTAGAAGTGAAGCTCTAACCTTAGGGGAAAAAAACGATCAGAGTTAGCGCACAGGCCCTGAAATTGAGTCCCAAGACCCATACAAAAATCCAAACAAAAAGGAACAAAAACCCCACAAGGCATTCCTTCAAAATCACAGCAGAGATCCTCGCTTCCGTGTCTTCAGAGGTAGCTTGAGGGTGTTTTTTCTTTTTTGAGGGGTTGTGCTGGGGTTGGAAACCAGGGCCTAGAGCAGGCCAGGCAGGAGCTCTACCCATGCGACCTTCCCAGACTCTCTTTGCATTGGAAAACGTATCCCCCAGCCCCATCCCAACCCCAAAGAAAGATCTAGTGTGCTCAAGAGCAGAGAGACCCCAGACCCACGACAGAGAACAACCCACCAACACCGTTCTTACCTCCTTGCTTCTGCTGTTCTCCATGCTCAGCCTAAGAAGTTGGAAGTGTTTGAAGAGGTCTCCCGGCTCCTAAAGGGCTCCTGGCTTGAGAGCGTCCTTAGAGAAATCTCCTCCCACTTCCTGTGGCCACTGGGCCTCTCTCTCCCCTCCCCCCCATCCCGCCCCCTCCTCCGCCCCCACAGTTCGTGCAGGTTAAAATTCTGTGCTGCCTTCCTCGGGAGGCTGCTGATCTAGGGTTGAATTGTTACAGCCATTCTGGGCCCTTTTCTGTGACCTTCTTAAGGTTTTATCCAAGGTATGGTTCAACAGGATGGTAGGATGTTAGAAACCTTCAGAATGTGACAAAAGGGAAAAGTAGAAGTCGATCCAGACTTCAAAACAGGATGTGGGAGAGGATTAAATGGTGGAACTGACAGAAGCCATAAAAATCAAGTCTTGGGGCTAGGAAAGAGGCTCAGAGGTAGAGTGCTTGCCTTGCATGCATGAGGCCCTGGGTTCGATTCCTCAGCAGTACATAAGCAGAAAAAGATGGAAGTGGTGCTGTGATTCAAATGGTAGAGTGCTAGCCTTGAGCTGAAGAGCTGAGGGACAGTGCCCAGAGTTCAGGCCCCACGACTGACCCCCCCCAAAAAAAAATCAACTTCTTTTATACTTGGATCATTCCATTTATGATATGAATTTCAGATTCAAGTATTTCCTTATCTATCTATCTAGGCTGGTGCTCTACCACTTGAGCCACATATCTACATCCATCTTTTTTGCTGCTCAATTGGAGAGAAGAGTTTCGGGGACTTTCCTGACTGGGCTGGCTTTGAATGTCAAAGTTCAGATCTCAGCCTCCTTAATTAAATAGTTTATTGTGGAGGTGTGGAACCAGGGGACCACTGTAGAATCTACCTCCAGCCCATAAACTCTATTTTAACTTTTGCACTGATAACAATTATTTTTTTATGTTTTTATTTATTTATTTATTTTTTGGTCATGGGGCTTGAACTCTGGCCTTGGATGCTGTCCCTCAGCTCTTCAGCTCAAGCAAGCCCTCTACAACTTGAGCCACAGCACCACTTCCAGTTTTCTGGTGATTAATTGGAGATAAGAGTCTCCAGGACATTCCTGCCCAGGCTGGCTTTGAACCCTTATCCTCAGATCTCAGCCTCCTGAGTAGCTAAGATTTCAGTTGTGAGCCACCAGCCACTGGCACCCGACTTGATAACAATTCTTTTTTTTTTTTTTTTGGTCTGGTCATGGAGCCTGAACTCTGGGCCTGGGGGCTGTCCCTCAGCTCTTCAGCTCAAGGCTAGCGTTCTACCACTTGAGTCACAGC